CACTGTTGTACGTTATGCGGTACCACGGGATATAGCGGTTTCTAAGGCATTCGCTTTTCTAACAGCCTCCTGGGTGATTGAAACACAAGCCATTTCATATTCTTGTACGAAGATATATTGATTTATTTTAAAATCCTTCGCTTTCGCGTGAATTTCTGTAGAAATAACAAGCGCTAGATGACTAGAATAAAATGATGGAGATGGAAAGTTCTCTTAAATGAGGCTGAAACATCTTTCTAATTCTGTTTACAGTTTACATTGCAAATATCATGATATTATACGTTTAGATATCCTAATTGCCCTATAATCTTGTCGCAAAATGTTATATTAAAATTATCGCGCAAATATATGTATGTATGAGAAGAATTATTTTGCTGAAGTATCAAAAAATTTAGCTATTATAGATACAGATCTGAAAATGATTTTGTTGAACTATTAAAATAATTACGTGGGAATCTCAAGCATGATAAGTAATGTTGCAAAAAGTTTTGACATTCTTGCAAACAGTTTAAGCGTCCTACATAATTATTTTCATGGCCCAACAAAATTATTTTCAGATCTGTATTTAGTTAAATCTTTACATGCTTCAGTAAATGTTCTGCCTCTGTATATATATTGCATTAACTAAATTACAAATTTATTTATTTATCAGCTATAAATAAAATTTTTAAACATTCCCCTGTTTGCTTTCATCATGATTACTAACATTTCCATTCATTAACGAATCTTTGATAACGATTTCGCTTGAATGTTAAAACAATCATTTCGACAAGTTGTTTACAATACGCTCTCTCACTTATCAGCATCTCTAATCAGGCACACTTACAACATTGAAAAAATCCAGACAGTAATTCGCGCGTCTAATGCATCCGGACGAAGAGCAATGAAACGATCGTACGCAACCTGTCTTTGATCTCACGGCGATTTTAATTACCATTCTTAATGAGATTGTTCATGTCGCTTAGCGATATGCTCCGCAAAGCGAGCGATTGCTTTGTGGACGAAGATATTACCGTGATTGACCGAGAAAACTGAAGTGGCGCGGAGACTGTCTCCGATCGTTTCCCCCGTCGTTACTTGTACTCGCATTGTCCTCCTCCCTCGCTTCTCAATGCGGCGAGAGTTGTATTCGTCTTCGCCGACGACGGAAGACAACGATAATGAGAAACGGACTTAGGCCGCTCGTGTCACGCGCTAATTGCGGCACTCGTGACAATCAGGGTGACGATATAACGTCGCCGTCGCGTTGTCGCTCGCTTCTGTGAGCGCAACTCCGATCGGCGACAGTGTCATTTTCACACGAGTTTTACCTTTTGTCAAATCGCTACTTTCACCGTTTAAACGCAGCAGAACTCATGTTCTGACGTGGGTCGACGGTGGGTTGCTCTCTCTTCTAGCTGTGGTCTCTTCTAGGCGCGGCATGAGAAGTTTCGGCTAACCTCGGAGAGATCGCGCATGGCAATCTTTCAAGAATCCTCAACTCTTTGGAGACGGATTTCTTACTTCGTTTACTGATTCCTATAAAAGTGTAAAATACATGAAGTTTGCAGAAAAATTTTGAATTTATTCAAAGGAACTTGCAATTCTTTCTTTAGCTTCACGGTCTGTTTTCTATTTATTGCAAAATTACATTAAAATAAAATACAGTCAACACTAATAGATTTGAATAATTTATAACGTGGTATTTAGTTAAAAATATTTAAATTACTTTTTAATTATTAAATATTTAAATATCCAAATTACTTTAATTATTACAAATGTGTAAAGTTTATATTAACCCTTACCGTACCGTGTACAATTTGGTGCCTCATCCATACCATCAAGAGTCACTAGAATCCCTTCATTTTTTTCACCTCTTCAAAATAATTCAAAAAATCTCTAAAAATTCACCAACATACTTTCAACTTTCTAGAATAAATATTGACTCTTTATTTTGGAAAATAATAAAATAGTATAATTTATAATTACCGAAAGACTCCAAGAAGCAGGAATCGCTCGGTCACGAGTTACCTATATTGGTACAGTAAGAGTTAATTAAAAATTTTAGCGTCTCTCTCTCTCTCTCTCTCTCTCTCTCTCTCTCTTTCATTCTGTAATGGAGAATATATAGATTTATTGACACTTATAATTGGTGTTATTATGTATAATTAAATAATTCTAACGCAATAATCTCTCTCTTTTGACAAGCATTATATATTACAAAAAAAAATTATTTATCTAATATATTTATTTACTGCATATATTATATATTTGTGATTTCAATCGTACATACCGTGATGATACAGAAAATGATGTTTCTGGCTGAATAACTGTACAATTAAGGACACGCCGGCATCGCGCCGGCGTAAAGGACAAAGAAGGCCGCCGTTGATTTTCATGCTCGGCAAATCGCCGATTTGGCCTTCTTCGATGTATAGTAGACGGAATCGGATCGGCGAACAAATCGTGGAATCGCCCGTTTACCGATTTTTGCGCTTTCGCGGCCCAGAAACCTCCGTCATTCCTTTTTTTCTTCTTCTTTTACCCATGCCTTCCTCTCTCACGTCGCCGATGGTGATTCCTGCTCGTCGCGCGAGTGAAACGCATCTTAACAGTTTCCGTTTTACGAGCAGCTTCCGATTCTTCCGCCAGATTTTCACCGATCTAGGATTTTTTGTCTGGCGCCGACCCAGAAACGGACGATTTCTTTTCTCGCCTGTCGAACAACTAGGTATGCTCTTTCATCGATTTCCGCTGTATCTGCGCATTTATTACATTACGTGTCGATACGTGTCATCCCAAACAAAATCAATAGACACGGCCACATTGCGTCATCGCATATGTTACAATCTACATTGTGTACAATTTATACATTCCTCACCTTCTGACATTTATTATTAATAGATCAAGAGTTTGCAAATTTCGGGAAGTCTTTACGTAAATATAAAGCGTTAAATACAAGTTGCAACATCTTTTTTAAAATATTCGAAAGCAATCAACATATGAGTTTATCTATGGTATGCAATTAGTTAGTTGATAACAATAGATCGATTACTACGTTGCAGAAATAGGATAATTAGGTAAAACAAATCATTTCTTCTTTTATTATGAACAAGAACGAAATGGCACATTTTCGGGATTGCAGAATTCACCTTCTGACATTTATTATTAATAGATCAAGAGTTTGCAAATTTCGAGAAGTCTTTACGTAAATATAAAGCGTTAAGTACAAGTTACAACATCTCTTTTAAAATATTCGAAAGCAATCAACATATGAGTTTATCTATGGTATGCAATTAGTTGATAACAATAGATCGATTACTATGTTGCAGAATTAGGATAATTAGGTAAAAACAAATCATTTCTTCTTTTATTATGAACAAGAACGAAATGGCACATTTTCGGGATTGCAGAGGCATGACGGATTTTTTTACTTCCGATTCCAGTTACTATGAGATCAGCTGGCCTACTCCAAATCGGAATTGGATCGGCCTGGACATCAAACCGCGAAAATGATTATGATGATGTTAAAGAAAGGGTAAAATAATCCGCGATCATTGTGCATAGCAAACTACTTTCATTGCCAGTCATATCAGAGGGAGAGTCGCGATGATGAAAACGATAAGAGCAAATAGAAGAGAAAAGAGCATCGCAAGATCTATCTTAGATGTCAGAAATCTAAGCAATGACAGAAAGTTTCAAGAAAGTGTTATTTGTGTGGATCAGATCATTTTTGTCAGATGATTGAGATTCCATAAATATTTTAAATAAGATTTTAATTAAGATTATAAAGACAATAAAAAGTAACGTATTATTGAAGTGATCTTTTCGTAAATTCCATTAATTTCATTTCCGTTATTTTCGTTTAATAAATTCTCTTCTTTGTTCACTTTTGTCTATTATTCACTTCTATTTTTAATGAATTATTGATGCTCTATTATAATTTAATAGAACATTAGTATAAATTGCTTTTCATATAAACGCGAAGCTAACTGTACAAGATATAAAACTGACCTTTGAAGGAAATATAAACCAACTTGTGTAAAAAGTATACTCTTCTTTTTAACATGAAAACTTTATATAAAGCCGGTATTTATAGTTTGTTCTTATTTCAAGACCGTTTTAATTATTGTCTTAAGATAAGTTAATACAGTGTGTTAATACAGTGTGTAATTAATATGTGATTGATTTATGATATTTTAAGATTGTACTTAAGATACATTTTAAAACGTTCTATAAGAACCGACTTAATAAGTACGAGCTTAAAATCATCCCGGAGCATATAGAACATATCAGAATGACCTCGCCACGAAACAGGGTCAGACTCTCACCGCTCGCCGATAAAACTTGGCTTAGAAAGTCTTTTCACCCCTTCCGCTCATTATATTCATGTTCCGCGAGCACTGCTAGAGCAAGTAACGTCTCGTATCTTACTTATGCAATTTAGCAGTCTGGTATGTTTCGCTCGTTTCCATTTTACTGTGAGCCACTGAATTTCTCTCCAGAGTTTTCTTTCACGAAGTCATATGAAATAAACATGTAGAAAAACGATAACGTCCAATTTCTTCATGTATACTTCAAGCTTATTTACGAGTTACTTTTTTACAACATTAGCTACACCATTTTGACAAAACTTCAATTACAAGATAAAAAAAAAAGAAATGAACTCGAAGATCAAAAGAAAGGCGAAGGAAAGATAATAAATTAATTACTTTCTCTTTGATTAATTGTCATTAATTTTTTTATTTTATGTGAAATTGTTTTCAAACATCTAATGTTTGTCGTGCATTTACGCCGTGATGTACCGTGATATATCACGGCTGTGGCTGCTTGAACTAAACGTCGCAGCGTCTCACTTTGTCAACGACAATTGGAGTACGAACACGATGGTGGCAGTAATTAATTGTTCTCACGTTCACGCTTTTTAGAATACGCCCGTTGTTACTTTTGCCTTTTAACAAGTTAAAGTCACAGTACGTCGCAGCAAATGCTTTAGTACGCGGACATCTCGCAATGGAAATAACTGTTCACTGCGCTCGCTCGTCATCGCAGACGCACAAACATCATTCGTACTGATTGCTGACTTAATCAAACGAGAAACATGTGGTTGCGCAAGATCTCCATGTGTTGCTTCCTCCTTCCTCGTCTTTTGATCGTCGGCCTTACACTTGCGAAGACCCTCGAAGCGTCTGAAGAGACTCGCGAAACGAAAGTCATCTTCGAAGAGACTTCCTCGATATCAGATCAATACTCCGTTCATGAAATAACGACATCCGCTACGTTATTAAGACTGGTCACCGACAGCGACCAAGAATTAATCACACCGGTCGTCGGAACCCTTTCACGAAACGATTCCAACGTCTTCAAGCCTAGCCGGCATTTGGGCGAAATCGAGCACCCGATCATCAGGAATCCCTTTAACAACGTTCAACACGTGAGATTCGAAAACAACGTTAATCTGAATGGACAGCGTGAACGGATTCAGAATATTCTTCAGGATGCGTATCAGGGTGTCTCCAGTTTGCTGGACGAAGCGACGCGATCGAGCAAAATTAAGTTCGAGGATGACGACATAGTACAAACGTCGGACATCCGTCATTCTTTCCATGATCAGCAGGCTGTTACGGAAAGTTCGAGATCGCAATATGAGCAAGGCGCTGTCAGCCACATGTTTGCCGATCAGACGTTCTTCCAAAACGTTAAGAAGCCAGAGACGCAAGACGTGTTCGGGAAAACGACTGATTATCAATCGACCGGTCTTTACGATGTTTTAAAATCGCCGTACGTCATCAATTATTATGTCGATCAGGATCAGAATGCTTATCAGCCGGCGTCGCAGGAGACCGTGATCGAAGTGATCAAGAGGCCGGAGAGTAACGGTGTCGTAGTACTTCAACAACACGAGTCAACTTATACGAGAAAGCGGAAATTTCCATATCCGTTTTATCAACCGGATGACAAATACCACGATGTGCAATATATAGAGGACCCACATTTGAATATAGCTTATGCACGAGAGAAAAGGTAAATTGTGACACATTAATATGTTCGCTTTAAAAAATTTGTAATGCCAAGGAGATAATATTGAACGTTATTTACATATCTATCTGGTCTCTGTTTATTAAAAGCAATCTTTTTTGATCTTTGATAACGCGATCAGTTGTATAAATATTACTTTGAGTTTAATTAAGATATTATCACTTTTTACGTTGTATATTTCAATATTTGTTTTACTGTGTATATATACATGTCAACAAAGATAGAGAAAGAGAGAGGGATAGAAAGAGAGAATACAAGAAACGTTATTTAATTTTCATTAAATTCACGCGGGACAATAAATAATAAATTTTCTTCAACTAAGTGTATTACGATCATTGCTCTGCACATTTAATAATATATATTATTTAGTAATGTAAATTATTACACTGAGAAAAAAATGCTGTTGATTCAATTAAAGTCTATATTACGGGCTGTCACTAACATAAGTGATTAATTTATGTATATATTTTATTGACATAAAGGCTTGATTATTGAAATAATAATTTATGCTTTTATATCAATAAAAATATACATGAATTAATCACTTATGTTAGTGACAGCCCGTAATATAGACTTTAATTGAATCAACAGCATTTTTTTCTAGAATTAATAGCATTTTTTTTTTTAGTTGTATTAACAAATATTTTAATTTAAATTCTAATTTCGTTGAGAAAAACGCAAGTGTAATACATTATATATAAATAATCTTTTATCAAAATAATATTATATATAATAATTTTTAAATAAATATATTATTTCTGACTACATCTTAATTGTTGTCTCATCTAATTCAATTATCTCAAATTGTGTGTACAATTTCTAATGCGTTCCATTGGAATTACTTAACGAAATAATTCATCTTTTTATTATTTACTCAAGAACGTTATTCTTTTTTCAAATATGAAACCGGAATATATTGTTTACAGACCGTTCCCTTGGAAGAAGATCATTCATCTAATTGGTACTTTTCTGCCGTTGGGTCTACTATTGGCGTCGTTAAAGCCCAACGTCATCCAGATCGGTAACACAACAACGTAAGTCTCTTTCCCTATTTTTCCACCTCTAATTCAAATATCCGCTTATATATTTAATTAAAGAAAAATTCCATTAGCCAGCCGAACATCGTTCTCTCAAAGTTACGACTCGCCAATCTGCCGATCGAACACAAGCAAGCACGCATACACGATGATAACCAATCTATCATTTGCGAGAATCGATCAGTCTGCGAATTGATTTTAATCGGCGGTGAGCCACAATCTAACATTCTACAGAACATCCTGTGGAACGTAGCTACCAGGTGATCGATTTCTTCAGGCATATTTTCTCATATAGTTCTGTCGTATTATACTGACCGCGATATGATCTGCAATAATTTAAAAAAGATAAGAACGCATACTGTTTTTTGCATTGACAGAACTCCGGACGACGTCGCAAAAAGAAATGGCCTTCGTGAAGTGTTCAACGCCGTTAGGAAAAAAGACTGTGCGGCGATCAGCTGTTAACGACTAGGAAGCCTGAGGATCGGCATGCACGCGATCTCTCCTTCGTTGATTTATGACGATAATGTTCTCACATTATGCAAATTTCACGCCTTTACGCGTGAAACAGCGAGAGTATAAAAATTGATGAAGCGCATTGTATTACACTAATCATATATAATATATTATTTTATAATATAACTATTATTGATATATCAACATCAGTTGCTATAACCATATCGTATAGATATTGATATTATATTAGCTACATTATTCATTTCAAATTAAGAAATCATGTTAAAAAAAATCTTTACTTTTTATTAATTACACGAGTGGTATCCAACTTTAATTATATTATACGTATATAAAACATTTTGTAGGTTAACGACAATTCTTAATAAAAATCACGATACAATAAACGATCAATAAATAAAAATGATGATTTTTCTGGTCATTTATATCTCGTAACGATTAACAAATCTTACTTTTGCGTACAAATGAACGTTACGCTCGAAACGCGAAAGTTTTCATAAAAGTAACAAATGAAGAAATACGAAAACTGGACTTAAAGAACGAAGTGTCGAGGCAAGACGGAGGTATGTTATTCGGAAATTCGTTCCGCCCGTGCATCCGTGCCGACCTCGTCCTCGCAAGTGAAAGTAGTCGCAGAGTATAAAAGTAGGTCGGCGTTATTCTATGGCAGTGCGATCCGAGAATTTACGGATGCAACAGACTTTCGGACGACGAATAGGGGCTGACCAATTATCCCGCACGCAAGTTGTACATTACCGTTGACAATAATTACAAGCGGCCGAGCACAGCCACGCTGTGATTTTTAATTAACGAGCTGCTGCCGAGATTAAATGGATTAAAACGGATAATTTGATGGCTTAGCGTAACAATGCGTGCTTGACATTTATTGACGCTCAATATTTATGTTTCATGATTGTATATTTTACATCACTTCTGTTACACCGAATATATTTGTAGTGTTAATTTTAAGGACCGATTTTATGATCAGAATTTACTGACGATTTTTCCTAGACAAAAATGCGAGATATTTATTATTATCAAATAATCAGTTATATGACAAAAGGAAGAAACGACTTAAAACAAATCGATTAGCAAGAGTTTCTTGGTGAAATAAACTTTGGAAGAGAGAATAAAACAATCATACCCTTCACTCAATTTTAAGTAAACTATAATTTAACAGAACGTTAATTTAAGACTTAGATATAAAGATGTATAATGCTAATAACTAGAAAGTCGCAATAAGTGACGATCTCTCCCGACATTTTCACTAAGGAAAGAAATGACACCGAATTGGTTAAAGAATCTGAGAAAATAATACCTTAGAAATAGAACACTGGAATTATTACTTCAGTCTATATTTAACTATTAAAAGAATCCGTTTTGTTGCTTTTGTGGTGTAAACATAATATAAGATTCAGTTTATCGGACAACATAACATAAAATATATATATATATTATATTGCAACTTTTATATATAATCGCCTGATATTATATAACATGTAGAACGTATTACAGTTTCTTAAACGGTATCCACATGACAGTACATATTTGGAATATCTTTTTTTGCCACGCATCCGGAACTGTCAAGTGTATAATCACCGTTATTATTCGTTTATTCCTGTCACTTAGGCTCTGTTATTTAATTAATGATGTTCGTACTACTTTATTACAGGTGACGCAGTATCTGTAGCGGCATCAAAAACGTCAATTCGAAGTAAATGATGAAATATTATTTTATATCAATATATCATTTCACGGCGAAAGTTCAAGATGTCAAAGACATTTAATGAGAGGATAATTAGTAATTAAGAGGGACAAGTGCAATTAAGGTGAATGCCAAATAGGATCGGATTTCGAATCGTAAACTGATACTTCTCCATTTTCACTTCAGAAATGCAGGAGAGCTTCAAATCGCCTACTCGCCCGTTTGGTCTCAAATCGATTAATGATTTCTCTGAATGAATCCCTGCCATAAGAACACTCGAGAATCTTAACTTATGATAAAGAGAAAAAAATTACCTCAGCATTGTTCTAAAGTTTCCTCTGTTTCCTTAGCATTCTTAATACATACAGAAAAATTCCATTGCCAAGAAAAGTGATTACTAAGTTTACTTTTTTCCTTTTAAATAACAGTTATTTTTAACAAAGAATGTCTTCTTGTATAATGTTAAAATATACTTATTATAAATTTAAAAAAACTTATTATTATATATACTCTAAACAAGAATTTATTTCCTTTTGAAGAATGTTATAAAATTGATCGAAGTAACTTTATATTATAAGCAAATTCGGAATATTTTGAATAAGTTTGATGACCTTATGACAGATTTTTGAATACGCGTGAACTTTTGAAATACTTGAAATAAGTAATTATTACTTGCGTATATGGCATGTATTTTTCTGTGTATACAAATTTATTTGGCTAATTAAGCGAAACGGTGGTGCGAATCACATCTTCCAGATTTGGAGAAACAAGAAACAGCTTGTGTGAAACCACTTACTTAATGCAAAGTCTGCTGTTAAAATATATTCTTTATGTGACATTCTTTTTTTTTCTCTTTTCTTTTCTCCTTGTAAAGATAAAATAAATTAAAAAATTTTTATCATGTTAAAACGTTTATACACAAGAGAAGAGATACCTAAATTTCGTTTTTGCCGATTTATATCACTGTCGCGAGTCCAACGGTTGATTTAAAATCATATGCATGCTAATCTCTAAGTGTTAATCCTCGGTAATATCAATTCCCTTTTGGACCATTTATCACATTGTCCTCGGCAGAAATTTTTTCCCACGGAAGAGACTCCAAGAATAGAAGATTTTTATTATGATAGTGATCTCGTGTGAAAAACTTAAAAACATTTTTTTGCGTTGTCTGGTTTTAGACAGAACTCGAATATTTCAAGGATGATCAGAGGAGACAGGAAATCGATGATTCGTTTCCATCCTGAAATAAAATGAAACGAACCGTATACTCGCCGACTTCGGTATCGAAAGTGAGCCACTTCTTGCGCCGATTCTCTACTTCTGAGAGCGACGCAAGTCGTCGTTTCAAGCATAGTTGAGCAATGAGATCGCTCATAAAACGGAAGAACTCACGTTTCCGCTGCCTTCGCGACAAACGCTTCCGAGATTCCGTCTCTTCGACATCTTTTTACGTTCGAGGAAATTGTGCCAAAGGGGCGTCGTGTCCAAGTGAAACATGTAAGTGACGACGCGACGCAACTTCGCGTTCCGGAAAATAAACACAAATAAATAAGCGCGCGCGTTAGTTTTTCCTGTATTTGCGTAAAAAAGAAGCCCTCCTTTTAACGGCATTATTGTGTAAAAAAAAACTTTCACCGTTTCTTCTCACGATCTGAATAATTCTCTAATTCTCATCGCGAGGCTGAGAAAATTAGAAAAGTTCGCCGATCGATATCTATCCGGTGAGAAAACGCAAAATGATTATTTTCTCGACGGATCGCATCAATGTATAAAATGCCTTCGACCGTCTAATAAAATTCGTATTTAAACACGGTTTATAAAACACAACCCGTTTTCACTTGGATGTCAGCACGACAATTTCATGCTATTTCTACCTACGATCTCAGATAACACGAGCAAAATAACATCTCTCCCCATATGGAGAGATTGCACACGAACAATTAAATCATACAGTCGGCGAGAGAATAATTGTCGGGACGACGATCTCGGCCAACATTACGCGAAAATGGTCTGTCATACTTAACACATATTGTACATAAATGTACATGTGATTCCCCACAGAGTACCGGAAGATCAATATAAATAATAAGACATTATTTTTATTAAATTCTAATTTTATCTCCAGAAAAATTTAATCAAATAGAAAAGACTAATTAAACTGGAATCCAAACTAATTATATGAAAAATTAGGTCTCGATGATTAATTAGTTTTCACAAATAACTTAATGCAATGAACACAAAAATGTGATGGATATAAGGGTCAAGAATGGATAATTTTTTAGCTATGATGTATTAATTAAGGTGCAAAACTTGTGCTTACACAGCATCTTTGATAGATACCTAAAAAATTATTCTTAACAAATTATTATTAAATCTATGACATGTTTTGTTCACCACATTATTAGCTATTTACATAAACAAGCTATTATCATAAACAAAAACTAACCCATTTCACCGAGACTTAATTTATTTTATAATTAGTAGACCCCGCATTAATTACAGGTATGTAAAATTAGGTCTCGGAGAAATGAGTTAGTTTTCATTTATAATGTAGCTTATACGGAGAACAGAAAATATCATAAACACAAAGCTCAATAATGGATAATTTTTTAGCTATAATGAATCAAAAGTGCAATAACTTGTGTTCATAGAATACCTTTGATACACCATAGTTCAAAAATTAGTTCTCCATCAAATTAGCAATATGACAACTTATTTTAGTGGGACCCAATTTTCTATATAATTAGTGTGGTGTTATGAAAATTTCACTATCGTTGTCTTTTATAAATTTCCTTTAATATTCGACGTTAAATAAATAAAAAATCAAGTTAAAATTTGAAAGAAACAAAATTATGTTCACATACTTGCACCGCGTAAATTTAATTCATTGGGATCTCTTAATTTTCAACATTAAATAACACGAATCAGTCTCAGTTTCGCTTTTAATAAGAGAGAAACTTTGCATAAAGTATGGAATATTATTATCTGGTATCATTATATAAATTTTCTGGAGCATTCTGTGCATGTTCAGCTTTCACGGTTTTACACTTGAACTTGTCTGTTCTACGACATTGCCAGATAGAAGATAAATATCACACATGATGGTATGCCATCGTGACGTGCAAGCCGTCATCGTTTATCACAAACGGCTTTCGTCTTCCTTGTTGCATTAAATGCACGGCTAAACACACGAAGGCTCGATGCGAGACTCTTTTTAATATCAGTAAGTTTCACCACGACGGAAGTGATGTGGCTCGTACTGTGAAAGCGCATATCACGGATAATGTATGCGAATGGCGAACTTATTTCCATGGATGATTATGCATTAAGGATTGTTACCGACAATTCTCGATTCGCATTATTAAATTCTTTTCACAAATTATTAGAACAATACAGTTTTTATACAGATAAA